GCTCTCTAGTCTCCCAACATTGTCTCTTTTTTCTTTCTGCCACTTTTTCAGACCTTAAAAGATTCTATTAGCAACTTTGATGAGAAAACTTAATGTTTTAGGGTAATTACACTATTTTGTTTTTGTTTACTTTTTTGTCTTATGTTAAAATACATACAATGTAAAATTTACCATTTTAACCATTTTAAAATGTGCAATTCATTTGCATTGAGTACACTCACATTGCTGTGTAACCATCACCATTATCCACCTTGAAAATTTTTTTCATCATCCCAAACTAAAACTCTGTGCCCATTAAACAAAGACTACCTATTACTCCCTTCCCCCAGCCACTGGGAACCACTATTCTACTTTCTGTCTCCATGAATCTGACTCTTCTAGGTACCTCATATAAGTGCAATCATACAATATTTTCCTTCTGGGTCTGGTTTATTTCACTTAGCATAATTTTTCAAGGTTCATCCATGTTATGGTAAACTGATTTTAAAGAAAGATTGATTTTGGCACACAAAGTGTTCTATTCAAAACTGACTTCAGGCAGCTGCTGGTTTTAGGACTATGAAAAGTTGTTCCTGTCTGAGGGATTGCAGATTTCCTGCTGCAAACTTCCAAATATAAAGAGTGGCCCAGGGAAAAGCAAATGGAAATGTCATGTCACTGTCACACATTCTGTTATTCTGAACTAATTTCAACAGCGAAAAATGAAATACTGATTCATTTCTCCCAACAACATTTTTGTATGCTCCTTACACCTCTGAAAAACCTAAAACTCCTGAGATGGTTGATTTCCCCAGAGATTGCCTAAGGAATTTGAAGAATCTTTTCCTCTCTTATGGAAGAATTTGTTCATGCTCAGAATAGAGAAAAAGTTAGGAAGACAGCCAGAAAAAGCAGAAAACCTGGAAGCTGTTTCCTCTCATTTGACTGAAGAACCACAGTTGGAGCAATAAAATGACTCAGTGCATCTCTCCTTTCTGGAAGGATTCACTGGTTGATGTCATCAGGTTTTTCCAAGCATAGGAAGTTCCCCTTCATCTACATGGGCTGCCCCGAGTGTATCTCCACAGAGCAGAAATCCTCTGAGAAGCCTGAAGATAGGAAGGGTAAGAAGAAGAGGTAAGAAGAGGCACAGGAATGAAGATTTAAGAACAAAACAGAGAAGAAAAAGGAAATAGGAGCTGGTTTCTTATCTGGACCTAAATGTTCAGAATATTTTAAATGTTTGCCTAAGGCTAGACTAGGGGTGGACAAAATAGATGATAGTCACACAACTTGTTTACAAAGCAAATTAAAAAATACAATAGCTCTGAAAAACAACTGAAAATAAATAGGATGATGAATTGTATAGTTTTTAAAGAACAATGCTTACACCTAGAAAGCATCTTCCGTTTTTCAAACTTAAGGTGCACAGATTCATTTTCTTACCAATGCATTGATATTTATGGTACTTGTGGATATTCCAGGTACTGAAATATAATTGATTTAGGAATTTTGTTTGTCTTACAAGTGTCCTAAGTAGGCACATGGGCACCTGCACGTGAGCACTGTCTCTATATATATGTATAAATATTAAAAATATGAATAAGTAGCCTTAGACTCTATATATTTGTTAGGTTAGAAAGGTTTTAATCTACTGCTAGGTGAAGCTTAAAAAGAAGGACTCAAGAAAATGCCAGTAAGGCACCAACCATACAAATGCAAATGGAGAATTTCAACCAAATATTAGCATATTATTCTATAACACAAACACCTTGTGTTACTTTGTACTACTTGCATAATGGCCTTAATGTCCAGCTTTGTCCAATATTTTACACAATTTTGTACACTGTCCTAGTGGAGTAGAAGACAGAGGACACTAAAGACAAAGGACACAAAGGACAGAAGTAACAAAAGAACTTCCTTCTTGGTTCCCTACAGCCACCAGTATGAAAAAACAAGGTTTTTTCCAAGCAATGAAAACCTTTGGAAAGGAGGGAAAAAGTGGACTACAGGTTTAAACCTGGTAATGACTATGGTTTTGAACCTTGTTTAAAATGCCATCAGGTCTTCTAGTGGCTTGTGAGCCCCTGGTGTTTCTAGAAGGTATTAGAAGGGGCACCTGGGTGGCTCAGGTTAAGCATCCGAATTCGGCTCAGGTCATGATCTCACCATTCCGGAGTTCGAACCCCACATTGGACCCTGTGCTGACAGCTTGGAGCCTGGAGTCTGCTTTGGATTCTGTGTCTCCCTCCATCTCTGCTCCTCCCCGGCTCACACTCTGTCTCTCTGACTGTCTGTCTCTCTCTCAAAACTAAATAAGGGCGCCTGGGTAGCTCAGTTGGTTGAGCGTCCAACTTTGGCTTAGGTCATGATCTCACGGGTTGTGGGTTTGTGGGTTTGTGGGTTTGGGTTTGTGGGTTTGAGTCCCGTGTCAGGTTCTGTGCTGACAGCTCAGAGCCTGGAGCCTGCTTTGGATTCTATGTCTCCCTCTTTCTCTGCCCCTCCCCTGCTTGTGTTCTATCTCTCAAAAATAAATAAATGTTAAAAAAAAAAAACCTAAATAAACATTAAAAAAAAATTTTGTAGAAGGTATTAGGGTACTGGATGGACAGTTAGCACAAGTCTTCAAAAACCAGTGTATTTCCATTTCTATTTTATATCAATTAATATACAATTACATATATTTTACACACACACACACACACACACACACACACACACATATTTTTCATTTCAAAATGAAATGGTTTGAGACCTTTCAAGCACATATAGAGAACCGTCATGGGCGGTGGCTGGAGACCATTTGATGGCATTCACCAACTCAGTTTCCTAGTTGGCTTATCTTATAATTGACGATTGCTAGCAATCAGGATGGTTTTTGACCATTTGATAGTTTTCTACTACTTTTATTTTCCTCCACCTTTCCTAAAAGCAAAAAAAAAAAAAAAGAACAAAAACAAAACACCCATAGATTCTAAAATGCAACCTGATGAGGAGCTTTAAAATGGCAATAATTCTAAAAATTCACCTCAAGATACTATTCCTAGATTCTTTTTTTCTAAGTTTATTTTATTTATTTATTTTCAGAGAGAGAGAGGGAGCATGCACACATGGGGGGAGGAGCAGAGAGAGAGGGGGAGAGAGAATCCCAAGCAGGCTCTATCCTGTCAACATGGAGCCCCATGTGGGGCTCAAACTCATGAACTGTATTCACCAAATTCTTAAGTTACATTTGTCTGATCAAAATTCTTGTATCACATATCAAGATGTCTCTTGCACATGAAAAATCATTAAAAAGTAAATATAGTAGTTGGTATACCCAATTGGCTTTTTAAAATTGCCAATAAAGTGATATCTTTTATGTATATATGTACAAAATTCTAAAATTTACCCAGTTGATTATTTTAAATGCAAACCAAATATTAGGTCATGGAAACTGTTTTTGTCTTTTTTGACATGATAAAATACAATAACATTTCAATTTTCTTTTTAATATAAATTCTTCCCTCAAACCAGACACAAGATAAAAATTATTCTTAAACTTGTTTACCAAGAAATCTGCTTTCTCCAACACAATCAATTTAAACTGAATAAATTGCATGTGTCTGCAGTCAGATGGAAAAAATAAAAATTTATCATATGTAATAAATACATATGAATAATATTAAAGACCATATTTAAAATGAACTTGATAATAAATTTTTAATAATATGATGATCTATAACAAAATGTTTTACTTAACTGTCCTTCTTTATCATGCCACATAAGAAAATGTCAAGGTGATTAAGGGAGTGTGCAAGATTATGTGTTACAGTGAAAGGAAATTTGGAGTCGAAGGCTAGGACCATGAGGATAATCACTATAATCAGTCACCTGAACCATTTTTATCTCTCAAAAGACTTATATGAATAAAAATGTGTATTATTAGCAAAATAAATCTTACCCCTTACTGTCCCTCAGCAATTACCCTCCAATTTGACTACATAGGAAATAAATTTTATATTTCACCCTATTTCATCTATTTTGAGATGCACAATTTCTGCTAAATCAGGATGTACCTTATAATCAGTAGCGTCTTACCAAAGACATCAGCCGGGCTGCAGTTATGGCCACAGCTACCATTGCACATGTGTGAACATCAAATGTCAGCATCAAAAGTTGCAGAATGAGTGTCAGTGACTTGGAAGAAAGTCTTGCAGACAGGAGAGCTTTTTTTCCCCCTTATTTTTAACTAGGAACCAAATGGTGGTGGAAAGGGAGTGAATCAGACATGGTTAGCAACATTTTTTCAGAAGGAGCCAAAAGTAGGTTAACTCTATGTAATCGCAAGGTCAGCTTAGGAGCCCAGCACCAATGACTCTTAGTTTTCTTATGGATTATTTTAAGAAATGCTGCATCATCAAACTCCTGATATAGAGGATGATCCCATGGATAAAAACAGACATCAAAGAGTCTGAGTCAAATGCTGAATGTAACAAAGTTTTAGGAGTACCCAAACCAATTTATTTTTCTTACTGTTCCATTTTTTGCATGTACGAGTATAATACATGGTAAAATAATCTCTCTAAGTTTATAATAGCCCTTGCAATAGCTATGAAAGAAACATTCTGATTGTGTCGTGGTTCAACTTGCAGCGTTTTTTGTTTTTGTTCTTTTTTTCTTAATCATTACCTATATTAATGGTGCCTCTTACAAAAATAGCATTTTAGATTCTGTGAAAAAAAGCAGTCAATTTGGAGATTCTGTACTTTCCCCTCGTCTCATAAGATGGATAATGAACTTGAATGAGTTGAAATGTTTGTTATCCATACTGTGTTCCTAAATGCTGGTTGCATACCATTTTAATGAAAAGCTGCAGGCTGTTCTTTTTCTTTTTCTTTTCTCTTTACCAAGACTTTTAATAGCATATGTCCCCTGTTTAACTCTCCAAAATATTTACTGGGTGGAGAAATACTAGTAGTTCAGTTTCACATGTATGGTTTCCTTAAAAGTGTCAGACTGACTCTTGTTTCCTTTGCTAGGGGTGCAGGCTGCATCTTTATTGAAATGTTCCAGGGCCAACCTTTGTTTCCTGGGGTTTCCAACATCCTTGAACAACTGGAGAAGATCTGGGAGGTAAGAGAAGAATTCCTCTTAGGAAGAAGAAATATCTGCAATTCAAACTTTGAACCAAATTTGTTTTAGAGACAGTGAAGTAGTCCATCTGCTTTGAGATATTATGCCGCATATTAAGGCTGTGGAAACTGTAGAATTTACTACAGGTGTAAGCACCTGGGGAACGAAGACATGGTCAGGAAACTCCCTGTTGTCTTGTAGCAGCCCCTGAATCCACCTGCTCGCTCTCATTATTTTCTCAACTTCCCGGGACAATTGCTGCTGTGGCTATTTAGGCACATCCCTGCCTTGCCACCGTCAGCTCTAATTCTACCATATATTTGGCCCTGGGTCGTTGTCAACAGAAGATGAGACACTAAATATCCACAGAACCCTGATAAAACAAAGACTTACCGTGTTAGGGTGAGAGAAGTATACTATTTATTGTGCTCTTCCAAAACCTAATTCCTAAGGTGTGAAGTGCTTGGCTGTGTGTGGTTCCATTTCTTTCCTTATTATTTATCCAACTTCATTTGCACCACAATGCACTTCACTCTTTTGTCTCTTGTAGTTTGTATGCCACATAGTATAGTCATCCATATATTTTTCTCTCTTTTTTTGGTGATTTTTTTTCACTGTGGTAAAATATACATACCATTTACCATCTAACCATTTTTAGGTATATGATTCATTAAGTACATTCATGCTGTGCATCCATCACCACCATTCAGTTCCAAAAGTTTTTCATCACCTGAAATAGAAGTTCTGTACCCATTAAACATTAATTCCCCATCTTCCTGCCTTCTGGCCCCTGGTAAGCTCTCTTCAACTTGCTGTCTTTAGGAATTTGCCTATCCTGGGTATCTCCTATTAGTGGAATCATACAGTATTTGTCTGGCTTATTCCACTTTTATTTATTTATTTGTTTACTTATTTTAAATTTGTTTTTGAGACAAAGAGAAAGCACGAGCTGGGGAGGGGCAGACAGAGAGGGAGACAGGACCCGAAGCAGTAGACAGGTTCTACAGTGATAGCATAGAGCCCAATGCAGGGCTCGAACTCACAAGCTCATGAGATCATTACTCGAGATAAAGTTGGACACCTAGCCAACTGAGCCACCCAGGTGCCCCATATTTCACTTATATTCTAAAGGTTCATCCATGTTGTAGTGTGTGTCAAAGTGCTTTAAACTACACTGTTGTTATCCTGGATCCTGCTCCCTTTCAAGTTTGCTTGCTTCAAGCAGGCATCTGGAGCATTCTTGCTAACGGCCTCTGATAATGAGTTTCTTGAGAGATATTGCCAGAGTGGGGTTTTTGTGTGTAAGTGAGGAAATTTGTCTCCTCTTGAACTGCTTTACAATTTTGAGGTAGAGACACAGTTTTGTTATCACAGTCACCGTTCCACACTCTGAGGACAAAATGAGAACAAGTCCCCACATTCGGCAGTGTGCTGTCTTATATACTACTACAGTTCAAGGAGGTTAGAAACTTAAACATTACAAACAGCCCCTGAATTAGTGTTTCACTAAACGTGGTCTACATGGATGAAAATAGGAAAGCTCTTTCAGGTTCCGTGATATTGGATGTAGGAGTTGGCTCTTTGAAAGTAATAGGTCTGGGGTGCCTGGGTGGCTCAGTCATTTGGGCATCTGACTCTTGATTTTGGCTTAGGTTATGATCTCAAGGTCATGGGATTGAGCCCTGCACTGGGCTCTGTACTGAGTGTGGAGCCTGATTAAGTTCTCTCTCTCTCTCTCTCTGCTCCTCTCCCCTGTTCATGCTCTCTCCAAAATAAAATAAACAAACAAATAAAAAATGAAAGCAATGGGTCCATTCTACTCTCCTAATCTTTAACCACAATATCTCTTACATTTTCCTGAGATCTCACTCTCATTCTTAGGAATGAAAACAAAATGAGAAATTCTGAATCTTTATTTTGCCGTCTTTCTAAAATGCCTGTGTGTGTGTGTGTGTGTGTGTGTGTGTGTGTGTGTTCATCTGAATAGCTGTCACCTCTTTCTGATCAACTTTTTAGAAATCTAATTCTTGTAATAAGTGTTTTTAGCAAATGATCCCAGATACAGTTCTAAAATCAGAATAAAATAAACTATGCAGACTTTAAGTCCACTAATCAAAATGTGTTCAGTTTCCATTCGAACAAAGGCAGAAAACCGCCCTGTGCAGCCCACTATGATTTCAAACATAGCACTCACTGGCTGCCTTTTAAGAGCCTTCAGGGAGGGAATAAATCAACAATTTTTGGGTTTCAGTTTCCCAGACAGCGAAGCGGAGATTTAGTAATTTTCTCAAGTGAAAACGAATTCAGTAACTTTCAAATAGAACCCGAGCATCAAATTTCTAAATGTAGGAGATTGAATTTTTAAACTTCAAAAATCTCAAGCTTAAAGTTTTTAGTATAATATTAAAAATTGTTTGGTATCCACTTTGTTGGCTTTAATTAAACATAATACAAAGTAACCAATAATTCTAGTAACTGTCACCTTAGAGAAAATATGGATGTGGTCACTATTGATTGCCTTTGTTGCTTTTTCTTCATTGTCTTTGCGTTCTTTTCATTGTGCTTTGCCAGCCACCGGTATGGGTGCCTGCGAATCACTTGTTTACATGCACATCTGTGCAAATATATAAGATGGTAGGTTAGAAAAGAAGAATCAGCTTCCCATCCTCTGGCCGTCTCCCACAAAAGAAGAATTAGTCCAGTTGATTTTTCAAAATGGATTCCAGGATTCTTAGTGTTCCCTCAGGCTCAGAGTGGTTGATAGGAAAAGCCTATAATCCTCTCAGTAGCTTTTCAGTTTGTTTAGGGAATGGATCAAAGAAAGATTTTCCTGGGTGGCATGATTTTTTTATTGTATGAGGGAAAATAGCACTTCAGTGTCTTTTGTTTGAGGACAGTCTTAGCCGGCAGCACAAAATGCACCTCTCAGCCAGAGTCCTAATCAGCAAGCTGGTAGACATTAAGATTCTGGATTCTTCATTGATCATTATTAGTCACTGTTGGGCAGTTGACTTCCTGCCATCAATTGGGCTGGTATCTATATCTAGCATTTTGCAAATGGATTTATTAGATTCTTTCTATGAGAGATGCTTCTAAAAAGAGTTATGCTGAGATATGCTTCTAAGAAGAGTTATATTGGGTAGTGGTGTAGCGAGAGCTACTGATACTTCACTAATATTTTGCAGAAACAATGTTATTTTAGCTCCCAGATATAACCGACATAGGGCTTTTAAGGTGAAGGTAAAAGAATGGTAAAATGATGCCCACAAAACAACTCACAGTAAAAGCACTACCCAAAATCTGAAGTGTTTGACTTTGTATGCCAAAACACTTTTATTTTCATATTAAGTAAAACTGGGGCTTCGATTTGGTAATCCAAGGCATAAGTGAGCTCTTTTTCAAGTGATGTTGTTACTTTTACAACCCACCGGTTAAAAGTCAAATACCACATTCCAAGGTGCCAGGCCACCAAGAAAACAAGGTGAGATGAATTTGGTAGAAAGGACTAGAGTTAGGTTTGGGATCATTTTTAGCCAACATTCCACTGCCTAAAGGTCAGTAATCCGAATCCTTTTTAATTTGAGCACATGGGAAACAGCTGAATGCTCATGCTGAGGCATAATTCAGGCTAAGTGTCTTTTGTTGTGGGGGGTGTATTTTTTTCATCTAATGGAAGGCAAAAGGACAGTCATTCCTGCCTCTTTATATTCCCAACTCCCAAAATAGCATCCTGCTATATAGTGACCATGCAATAGATAGTGATGAGAATATGACTTTAAGCAAGGCTGTATGATCTGCCTCAGAATAAGAACAAGTGAGTTAGTGAGGACACAGGCTCAGGACCTGTATTCATGCTCTCCCAAGAAACAGAACCAATGGGATGTACAGAGATACATAAGAATCCTTTATTATGGGAATCAGCTCGTATGATTATGGCTGAGATATGCCATCTGCAAGTTGGAGAACCAGGAAAGCTGGCAGTATAATTCAGTCTGACGCCAAAGGACTGAGAACTGAGGGGATGCTGGTGTAAGTTCCAGAGTCTGAAGGTCAGAGAACCAGTAGCTCAGATGTCTGAGGACAGGAGAAGATGGATGCCCCAGCTCAAGAAAAGAGAGAGAGAATTTGCCCTTCCTCTGCCATTTTATATGGGCCCTCAACCAATTGGGTGATGTCTGCTCACATTGGAGAGGGCATATTTCTTTACTCTGCTGATTCAAATATTAATTTCTTGGAGCACCGGGGTGGCTCAGTCGTTTAAGCATCTGACTTCGGCTCAGGTCATGATCTTACAGTAGGTGAGTTCAAGCCCTGCATTGGGCTCTGTGCTGACAGCTAGAGCCTGTTTCATATTCTGTGTCTCCCTCTCTCTCTGCCCCTCCCCTGCTCTCTCTCTCTCTCTTTCAAAAATAAATAAACATTTAAAAAAAAACAAATACTAATTTCTTCCACAAACACCTTCTTAGATACACCCCAAAATAATATTTTACTAGCTACTGGGCCTCCCTTTGCCCAGCCAAGTTGGCACATAAAATTGACCATCACAAGACCTTAAGAATACACTACAGTTTTGCCCACAAAACTGCAAATGGTGGGCACTCAAGTTTCTTTCCTGTACATCAGCTGGCATAATGTGACATATGTAACAAATTCTTCCCTATTCCCCCTTGATCTTTCACATCTCCTGCCTCATCTTTCTTTGTCTTTCTTTGGCTTTATATAGGTGTTAGGAGTCCCTACAGAGGATACCTGGCCTGGAGTTTCCAAGCTACCTAACTACAATCCAGGTAATATTGATTTGAGTTTCTCGAATGCTCTGAGAATTAGCAATGTGAAAACATTTGCCACACAGATAGGGTAGCCTTCTTTTATTGTTAACTCAACAGTAAAGATGGGTCTAGATGAATTTTTAGATTCCTATATTCCCTGCTAATCCCTTTATGAGAAGGACACTGAAATAGTAGTTGAGGTTAGATCAGTTCTCCAACTCTATACAACACAAGTAGCAGGCTGCATAAGAATTTGGAATGACTGTTGCTGTGGATTCCACATCCATTTCCAAATATCCAATGACTCAAAAGAACTCAAAAGATGGTCTCATTTTTGAGCCCCATGACTATTATTGACTTTATTCGTTAGGTTCTTGTACCTCATAGAGTATTAAAAGAAAGCTAATATAACAGAGGGGAGGTAGAGTCTCATTAGGCCAAGGACTGGCCAGGTAAGATGTTTCTAGTTTACACAAGAGTTTCTCCATTGTCTCTGGGCCTAACACTTAGTCATTCTCATCATTCATTTGGTCCTCCAAGACTGGCTCCTGGGAATGGATTTGGAAGTGTTGGAAGTGTTGCCTTTGGGGGAAGTCTTTGAGAAATGGTCCCAAGGCCATGCCAGAGAGATCAGATTACCCAGTAGTCATTCAAGGATGTTGACACTGAAGGAAGGAGACAAGCAATGAGCTATAGGATAAAGGATTATATCAGAGGCTGGGAAAGCAAGTAATGGCTACAACAAAGTTGAACTCTTGCTGGCAGGATTAAAGGGGAGGTAGATATGTACAGATAAAGACAAGATTGGCATGATTATGGCTCAAGTCAGATTCTCTAGTCTTTATGTTCTTATAGTGACCCATCACTAAATATGGACTTTCTCCAAATTGTTGTCATTACTAACTTTGGTATGGGATTATCCTAAAAGGGTGTCATGAAATCAATAAATTGTAGGAAGTTTAAAAAAGCAATTAAGGGGTGGGGGAAAGGGGAAAATGGGTGAAGGGCATTGAGGAGGACAATTGAGGAGGGGACTGGGATGAGCACTGGGTGTTGTATGTAAGCGATGAGCCACGGGAATCTACCCCAAAAACCAAGAGCACACTTTACACACTTATGTTAGCCAATTTGATAATAAATTATAATTTTTAAAAAAAAGAAGTAAAAAGAAAAAAAATTAAAAAGCAATTAAGGAGCATAACAGGGGCACCTGGGTAGCTCAGTTGGTTAAGAGTCCGACTTCAGCTCAGGTCATGATCTCACCACTTGTGGGTTCAAGGCCCATGTTGGGCTCTGTGCTGACAACTCAGAGCCTGGAGCCTGCTTCAGTGTCTCCCTCGCTCTCTGCCCCTCCCCCCTTCAAAAATAATAATAAACGTTTAAAAATTTTTGTAAAAAAAAATGGAGGCTAACAAAAGACATACGAGGCAGGGGATTTTTTTTTCTTCTTTTCTCCATCATATAATACTTACACTCAAACTATTCCTAGGGAATCAGGCATCTTGAACTGACCAGGGTTATAAAAGCCCTACAGCAAGTGAAAGACTAACTGTAAAGTCATTTCAGCTGCCTTATGAATAATCATATGCATTGCTAAATGGCCTTAGGGTCATTTACAAATAGTTTACCATTTCTAACTATTTTGCTTGAGTTTAGCACCTGAGAAAAATGCCACTCTGGCCATAAGGTTTAGAATAATGCCTGGTCCTTTTGGTCTGAAATAGAAAAAGAACAGGCTGCTTGTAGAGACCATGGTCCAGTCTGCAATGGTTCTATCTCCAGTTGCCATGGTTTCTAGGAGAACCTGGTTCTATTTTCCCACCCTGCCTATACCTCTCCCTACCCAGTCTCCTCTGCAGGTAAAAATGGAAACCCTCAGCTTCCTTCCTACCATGGATGCAATAAGAAGTTTAGGGTCACAAATGGGTTATAGAAAACCATTTAGATGATGTCAGTACTAAGCTGCCATGGTGAGCATATGCTATTCCTCCAAACTTCAAACGTTTGGGTTTCAGGTTGGTTCAGGCAAATAAGCAGTGATCCTTAACACAGAATGCCTTGGTGAGAACAATAATGATAGAAACTTGTTCAAAATGCTTCCCTGCCAGATTCTGTACTAAATAAGATAACTGGCTCCCAATAAAACAGCAAGAAATATGTTGCATTTTTCATTTTGCTGTCATTTCAAAGTAATGTGCAATTTTTTATTTATGAAGAGAATTCTCCAGGCCCAACATCAATAGTGTTCATACTTTGCATTGTTTTTCTACTAGGGATTCAATTTAATTCAAATAAGCCAAAAAATTTTGAACACCCACTATCTGCCAGGTGCTATATTATGTGTTGGGTCCGCACAGACAGATATGGTACCTTCTTGGATCTCTGAGAACTTGGGTTTGTATTCATTCATCTACACTCTCTCAACAGCTCTCCTTATTAGGAAGGGTGATCACTTGTGAGCCCGGCTTTCATGGGTTTGGGCAATGTGTAGCTTTGGGCCAGGCCGAGCTTATGAAAGTAAGAGAGTTGTAAACTTAGCTACGATGAGGATTTCTAACTCTGTATTTGTGAATCTTAAAAGTCCAGCATATCTTGAACATGGGGTCAGGACTATTGATAATCATAAAGACTGTGTTTTAAAAGGGTCATCATTTTTTTTCCAGGACTATTCCCTTATATCGATTGAGAAGACCCTTTGAACCATCCCGCACCCACCCCCATCACTGAACTGCCAATGCTGTTTCCACACATTTGAACTCCAGTGATTAAGAGAACAGAACAGGGTATGGGAGCCAGAAAAATATCACAGAGAGAACAGTAATAGTATTCTGGATGAGATTTCCATTCCTTTCCTTTTCATTCTAAGTAGTGGTAAGAGACCCCAAACTTGGAATGCAGCCGGAACCGAGAGCTCAGAACTTGGGAGGACGATCCAGTGTCTATCTATGCCTACTCTACCCTTGCCCAGACCTTGTCTGGACTAGGTCTAGGACAACACAGTTTCTGTTTGCATAGGTTTAAAAAAACATTTGGTGCTGATCCACCTGGACAAGTTTCTCTGGCCGCTTGTTTTCTTGGGACACTAATGAGCATGACTGTAGGTTTTTAGCCATCATCAATTCAGACTCGTGTGCCTGATTAAATCTGGGCAAGGGAAGAGAAGTATATAATTTTAGACACTAGGCTTCCTCTTTCTTTCTTTCTTTTTTTCTTTCCTTCCTTCCTTCCTTCCTTCCTTCCTTCCTTCCTTCCTTCCTTCCCTCCTACCCCCCATTTTAAGCAAGCTGGCTGAGAACTCTGTGTCCTCTACTTCAAAGGGCCAGTTGTCTTATTTTGATGTGGGCAGATTGAGAAGTAGGCTTTGAAAAGTAGGCTTTTTTTTGTTTAATCTTTTCTCCTGGGATAGCTTTCAGAGCAATATATCCAAGTGTCAGTAAGGGGGTTCTGACGAGCACAGATTCCCAGACTCTCAGCAGGATCATTCTCTAACAGAAATATAAAAGTGAAATATTAAAAACCCTGGAACGTGAACTCCATCTGCAGAGTAGCCAGTGGCTTGCCTGCTTGCACCATGGGAAAAAAAAGATCTTGAAAAAAGAGGGAGGAGAAAAAAGTGCTTTGAGTAAGAGGTTTACAGGTTTAGTAGAGCATAGTAACATCCCCTCAAAGAAGTGGGTGTTGCTCTGTGACCCCCCAAAATGCTCTGCCTTTGACTCAGCCGCCAGAACACTCACCCTCCCCCCCGCAAAACACCCCCTTTTCACATGCTAACTGAGGCGCCTGTGATTGGCTGAACAATAAACTGGTCACACTTGCTAAAGGCCTGCCATCTTTCACACAATTAGCCAAGACACATTAATCAAACTGGCGGTGAACTGGGGCTGTGCTGGCCTCCAGCGCGGGGGAGGGGAGAAGTTTTGATGATCCCTTAATAAGAGTCCATAGGAAGCAATAATAAAGAACGACATGCTGGAGGGGATTCTACTATCAGAAAGTCTGAAAAGGTTAAAGCCCCAGTTGATGCCCCATCTGGGATGTACTGGGTTTATGGCAGAGAGAATCTCAGAAGCTTAGAGCAAACTGGATATTGGTCTTGGCTAAAATCTGCTCATATAAGACAGTAGTGTAAATTTTAAAGGTAGACCCCTATAGACAATTTTACACAGTTCCCTGGTGCTCTTAGCATCACCTCCAACCCCGCCCCCCCCCCCAAATGTACTCAGGAGTCCCTCCCCTTTTGAGCCTAAAGCACTTTGAATCCAACTAACCCAATAGGAATAAAGCATATATAAGAAATAGAGAACCATTTAGAATCAATTAAGGCTGGCAGGGTGTTGTTCCTAAACTAAGTATTTGGAGGACATAAAAATAGTTAATTTTGAAAGAGGAAAAAAAATAACATTTATACTTTGAGTGGTAATATCTTCCTTCTTTTCTTTTCCAAATTCCCTTTAAATAGATTTTCCAATGGCAATATAGAGCTAATAAGATCATACCTTAGAGACCAGTTTGCTACAGAATCATGTAAGGCTTTTAGGAGAACCAACTAAATATTTAGACGTTTCTCAGTGAAAGTAAACGGAGGCCTTACTCCTCTGGAGGTTGTCCAGTCACCATCTCATTAGATGCAAAGATCCTGTGATAAAGAAAAACTTTTGTTTTGTGCCCACATGATTGCAGCCCAGTTGTGGTTTTTAATGTGTCATTGATTGTTTCATCCAACTCCTTTTGCTCCACTGAAAGGGTCTGCCGTGGCTCTGTTTGCTTCCTTAAACATGGGTTTTGAAAGCGCTCATGCTGTGTGAGCTCAAATCCTAGCATTAATGTACTGCTGGGTTCATTTCACTACACTCAAAAGCGCTGAGTTTAAATCCCTCTCAATTCCATTTGAAGCACCAGAAGACTTTATCCTCCTCCACTAATGGTTCCAAGTTTACATCTAGATACTGGGGGTCAAGGACAGGAGAGGATTTAGAAATAACAGTGCATGACATTAGTCAATGCATTTGCCAAATTGG